GTGATCAGATCAATATTTCCTTGCAAAGTCAAAGCAATGATGCTTTAGTAATACTGAAATATTAATCACAAGGAAGAAATTTAAGATATGGTGCATGAAAGTTTGAAATGCTCTCCTTTTCTATGTTGAAAATTTGCTCTCATAGAAGACATGTTAATTATAAGCCTTGCAGAAGAAAAGTGATTCCAATATATAAAACAACAAAAATTACCACCTGTTATTTTATTGTACACTGTGCCATTATTGGAAATAATTGGTGACCATTTAGCCACAAATAATTTTTGTGTCTATGTGCTCAGCAGTAATATAAAAACAGAAAAATATAGTGTTTTTGATATCTGAGAGCTCTTACTTTCAAAGTATACTTCATTCACACTAGATACTGCAAATGATTTATCTTCTAGAATAATCCAATTCTTTGGAAGGGTAAGAGTGAAAGAAATATAAAAATTTGATGCAATTTGCTAACTGCTGTAATTAAATTATAAAGATCTGGTGAACAACAAAGTGAACAATAAACTCAATGTCACATTGTAATGATACATTTACATACTTTAGATATATTTATAATACATAATGTAGTATAAATTGATAGTTATTAAACATTTTCACTGAATATGGTTTGGTTTGGTTGGGAATGTCCATACTATCTATATTAACCATGTGGAGGATGTTATCAGATTATTTTATATAAATACAACACAAATGAATATATAAAATGGAATAAATGACATATAACAAAGGCAGTAGTTCTGTAATATTTTATTCAGTTTATATATATCAGTTTATACATATGTCTTGATAGGATAAATAAATTTTATGTGTATTTTTTTATAAAGGGTTCTCATCAAAAGACTTTGAACTGCAGAGTTTAGCATATTTAACAACTCATAAAATAGAGAAAGAATCTATAGGAAGTTAGATACCAATATCTTCCTTTTAATAGGATAAGAAATGCCATAGTGAATATTATTTTATAAACTAAGAATTTAAAATGCTCTCTGAATGCCAACACCAAAATAGATTAAATAATAGTAATTGTGCAAGTAATTTCTCACATTAATAATAATACATTTCCCAAACCTACATCTTCAAGAACTATCACTTTATTGATTTTCTTTGTGTAAGGCCCTGTACCAAGAGCTCAAAAATATTAGTGTTTTTGGTTCTTTCAACAAACCCATGACCTATTAGTATCCTTATTCTATGGATGTGAAAAGTCTGTCGAGAGATTTAAGTCATTTGCAGATACACACAGCTAGAATATGCCAGGTCTGTTCTAAAGATTACTCAGCTAGTCACTACACCATATGCCTTCAGATTGTATTCTACTTTACATGAAAGACTGACTTTCTGAAAGTCTCAGTCAATAAAAAAGCAAAATAAATCATAACTAGAACAGTCTAGGGACCAGAAGATAGTGTAATGGTTATGTTGCTGGATTCTCATATAGTAAAGAATGGTTTGAGTCCTGGATCCAGCCACTTAAAACTCATGCCAGGCACATGTATGTATATACCCAAAATACCAAGAGGAGAATGGAGTATTGTGGAGATTGAAGGGATTGTATTGTGGGGGGTAAATTCTTGCTTTTTGTCTCTGTGGTGAGCACACATGCCATATAGGGAAAAAAAAGTCTAGTACAGTGATTCTCACATGTTAACTTTTTTGTCAGAATATCTAGAGACTTTTTTAAAACACAGATTGCTGGATTTAAGATGGGAACTATGAATTTACGTTTTCAACAAGTTCCCAGGTGAGCTACAACTGCTGGTCTAGGGATTGTACTTTGGGAGGCAGTTCTGCCAGAGTTTATGATCTGCTGTTAGAAAGGAAGACCAATAACTGAGACAGAATGAATGACAGTTTCTGTGCACAGGACCCAGTCATCTGCATGGGGGCAGGTCTTCTTAAGGAATCCAGTGCATGATATATCATTAAGATTATTGGCCAGAGTCATTCTGAAGAATTCTGAAGGGTTAAAAAGATTTTTTTCAGTTTTAAAATAAATATTGTGGCAGTGTAGTTCATGGTTTAGGTCATTTCAATAAAAATTATGCCTTTTCAGTCACCATGGCGCCCCTCTCCTCTTTACACATACATTCTGCCTTTGCATCTATCAGTACAGTAGTCTGCCTTATCTGTAAGTTTGCTCTCTGAAGTTTCAATTACCCATGGTAAACTGCCATCTGAAAATCCCCCCAGAAAACTCAGTAAGTTTTAAATTGTTTGTCATTCTCATAAGTGTAATTAAATATCTCTCCATCCCACCTATGGCAGGAATCATCTCTTTGGCAAGCATTCACACTATATATGCTACCAGGTCTTAGTCACTGAAGAGCCGATTTGGTAATCAGATGACAAGCAATGTACATACTGTGTTTAGAACTACCCATGGGATCCACGAGGTCTTGGATTCCATCCCCCCACAGATAAAGGGAATACCATATCTGCTTTCCCAAATCCTGGACAATAATCTAAGCAAACTCCCACCTCAAAGTAAAATACATTCTCACTATAAAAATGTGCCTGTTTAAGAAAATGTTATGCACAAAGAAGTAAACTTGCTATATGTATCAGAATACTTAGTTATTTTGAGTTTATAAATGAGTCATTAACTTAGGTAAACATATTTTTATATAAAACAGAAGAAGAAATATTAATGAGATTATATTAGGCTTCATGGGGCAGAGAAAGGCTTACTGCTAAAATAAAGAAAAACATTGGAACCAAGGCAAAAGGGAAAGGATAAATGAGGCTCGGAGATTTAACAAGGCTTGTTTTCAATAGAACTAGCACAGCTGGCTTTGGAGTAGGGACAAGGGAATCATTTATCTGCTGAGAGAGAATTACCAAAGAGAAGCAATGAGTCTTCAGGATTGTGGAGTCAAAACTTTAGTAGCAAGTATGTTTTAGTAAGGTCAGCTATGGTGAACCCATAATATTGACATTTTTTTATGAGGGAAATACTTTTCCGGATAGTGGCCCCAGGCTTGATGTCTATTTTAAATGAATCTTATAGGAACATTCTGGTCTTTATGAGTTCACGAAAGAATGGGCTCTAATGGATCCTCTTATTTATATAACCTGCAGTCAGCTTTAAAGGAATATTTATGCCGAATAAGTTTTATTATTATTACTGTAAGTTGCAGCCAAAGATATTATTTGAGAAAGGAAACTTCTAGCAGCTGATTATAAACTGCCTATTATTATTACTTTGCTATTGTTTTGAGTTCATGACTGGAGCATACATTAAAAATTGTGTTTGTTACCATAGAGACCACCAGATGGCAAAATGGTTGCGTCACTGGACTCCCATGTAGTCAACCACGATGTGAGTCCCAGACCTAGCAGCTTGAAGCTCACAATGGGTGCACGTGTGCGTGCCCAAAATCCCTAGAGGAGAATAAAGGAGAAGAGATTGCAGGATGCCCAACCTCCCCAGGGGATAATTTCTCGCTTTCTGTCTCTCTGTCTCTCTCTGTCTTTCTGGCATGCACATGTGCCCTGTGGCAAAATAAAAATCTCTTAAAGACAAAACAAAAACAAATATTGTGCTTGTAACCTAGAAAGAATACTGACATTAAAATATAAGACAATATAAATGAAGGGAACATAGAAAATAAAATTGACCAAAAAAAAGCAGAATTTAGAATTAAAACAACTTAAATTATATTACAATTGGCTGTTCTAAATCAAGTGTAAAGAACATTGATTAGTTTGGATTTTCAATTGCAGCATAGATGTAATTATTTTGGCCTGTTAATAACATTTTATTGTCGAAAGATAACTAGCATTTCGATTTTGTGTTATTAAAGTTGCAGGATACTGAAAAAAGACAATATCATTACTAATGTTCTTGCATTTTAAACTGAATTGTAAAATATAAGCATATATGAAAAACATAAAGGAGTAGGTATGGCGTGAGGAAGACAAACATTGAACTCTCTGTACTTAATATCAAAATTTGAAGAAAAACATGTCAGTATCTATGAAGGCTGGTCTGTGGATTTGTGTTCCATTCCTGATGTGAGCAAAGCTTAAATATGCACAATATGGCAAATTCGGAGCTAGCTCCACTTCTCAGCTTGCATTTCCTGATTCCTACATTCACTTAGATGTTGGGCCAATTGTTCTTTATTTCTTGCCAGCTTATCCTTTTTAAAATATGTTAATCTAACACTGTAATTGTTTATAATAGAAAGGCTGGCCAGTTTACCAAAATCCTTCTTGAAATACTAATTAGCCAAATATGCTTTTATATTTGAAATAAGAGTTCGTAAATATCTTGTTAGTCATAATCCCATCAAAGTTATATTTTATGCATGAATGAATTTGGGGATCAGTCCAGTAGATGGCAAGAAGATGACCTGGTCCAACCATTTGCTGATTTTATGAAGGACAAGAAAGCACTTACTTCTCCAGAAATGTTCTTATAAAAATTGTCTAAGGGGGCCAACAAACAGGTAGCATAGTCGTTAATGCACTGGACTACCACATGGCAAAGTACAGTTTGAGTCTCAGACCTGGTGGCTTAAAATTCATGCCAGGAGCATGTGCATGTGTGCCTAAAATCACAGAGGAGATGGAGGAAAAGGGTTTATGGCATGGCCATGCTCCCCTAGAAAGTGATTTCTTGCTTTCTGTCTCTCTGGTGAGTGTATGTACCTTAGCAAAAGACTCTAAACAAACAAACAAACAAACAAAAAATATAGATATTAGATCAGAGTATTGGAACTTAGAATATTTTCCTTGCTCTAGCATATGTAGAGAGCAATTCCAGGGTAGGAAAACTTTGTATTTTTACTGAAATAGAGAAAATATGCTGGTTACTGCTGAGGGAGCTCTAAAGGGAAAATAACAACAGGATGACTTAGAGAGACAAGAAATTGTGGTACCTTCATTTCAAGATATGTTTTCTCTCACCTCCAAGTTTTTGATGACTTAATCAAAAGATTGGGATGCTAGAGTAAAAAAATAATGGAATCATGAGAGATGCTTCAGGTACACTTAAAATGCAAAGTTGGTAATTCAGCAATAAGGACTGTAGGAGAAGCAACCACGTCACAGGTAGGAGCAATGCCAATCTGCACTAAACTAGCATCATGAGGTGCTCGGAATTCCTTGGAAATATAATCAGTGAAGCCTTCTGAGACACATGTATATCCTCCAGAAAACCACTCTCTGTAGGAAGATTGAAAGGACTCAAAAGAATGCCAGCAATGAGACTATTTATTTTGTCACTTAAAATGTACCTATAATTATGAAATTCGAGTGACAAAACAATTCTGTATCTTGTATTTTATATCATCACTCTATTAAAATCCAAGTTATTTTAGGACATATTCAAAGGGTAGCATCTTCTTTGATCTTTTTCTACCCTTTAGAAAACTAAATTCAATTTTTTTCTTAGAAACTCAATTTAACAATATTAGATATAGAAGTGTTGTATTTTTATTTCTACCTGTTCGTCTGCTTGAAGTAATTTTTTTTCCCACCTCAGGTTTATTCATACACACAGTATGGAAGGACAGCAGCCCCACACAGAGAGCAGCCCAGGGGTCACCAGTCCTTCTGTCCTCATACTGGCAAAGGCCTCTACTACGGGGCTTTTGTGGGGGCCTGGACACCTTTGGGAGCCCGAGTCCGAGCCTGAGCCCGAGCCCGAGCGGGAACTGAAGATGGAGCTGCAGCTGAGGCCTGGACCTTGGTCTGGGTCTTGGTCTGAGCCTTGGCCTTGTTGGCCTTTGGCCGAGAGAGCCTGAGGCCCTTGGCCATATGGGCGTGAGCACGTTTGCCAAGCTTAGAGTGGGCAATGTAGGCAAGATCACTCATCTTGAGGCTGCTGCCCTTTGGGTCACCCTTCTGAACCTCCTTGGGCTTTTTGAGGGCCATGATGGCCTCCAGTCGTGCACTCATGGCCTTGGCATTGTTGGCCTGCGTCTTCTTCAGACCATTCCTGTTGTGCTTCTTGGCAAAGCTCATGTTCCTCAGGAATTTAGGGTTCACCCTTTTAAGAGATTCATATCTTTGTGATCGAGGTTTCTTGATGCCATTTCGATGCCATTTTTGGTACTGGTTGTGTGTGGTGTGGTTCTTGGACTTGGCCATGTCTGCACCGAAACCCACGGCTGCCGAGGAGTCTGGGGCTGGAAGAAGAAAAGGGTGAAGTAATTCTTGAAGTAATCAGGTGGAGAGCTGTAGGCTGGAGGAGTCTACCTATATCACTCCCTTAGTAAGAACTTCTTGTTTATTAGCTCTAAGTTAATAATTCTGGCTTAATTTATTTTTAATCAGAGAGCTCCTTAGTTTCAATTGTCTGGGTAAGAAAATAGTTCTGCGAATGTAGGGCTGGCATGGACTTGTGCACCAGATCTATTTAAATCTGAATGTGGTTTGGGACCAGCAGATGGTGTGATGTTTATATATCGCTGGACTCACACACATAGTTGACTGCGCTTTAAGTTCCAGACCCGGTAGCTTAAAACTCATGTTGGGCATGTGTGCATGCATTCCCAAAATCCCAAGAGAAGAATGAAAGAGAACGTATTTGCAGAGTAGCCATCTAATCTGGGGAGTGATTTCTTAATTTCTGTCTCTTTGTCTCTCCAGCGAGCGCACATGCCCTATAGCAAAAATCTCTCTCTAAAAGGAAAAAAAAAATCTAAGTGTGGTTTTCAGAAAGTTTTTCAGTCTTCCCTAACAGTTCTTATTTTTATTAAATAAGAATATCTATTTGAAGTATTTACAAGAGCAAAAGCTTTACCAGGTACAAGGAATTTTTAAACTACTCCCATCATAATGTTTATGTTTGATACAAGTGTCTTATACTGATTACTATAAGGCTTATTTACTAAAAGATAAACAATGTTCTCTGATGTGCATTTTATTTAAAAATCTGTATTTAAGATAAAGTGGTAAATTACTGCAAAAAATGTCACAAATTTTATAAAGATACCCATTTTTACCAAGTTTTTTCTTGCATAAACCTACCAAATATGGTTACCAAGAATAATTTATTGTTCACAAAAAAGAAAGGAATATCAAATGCCAGGGTCTTGTTATTGATATTGAATGATGAAGTGGGGAGATCAATGTCTCTGTACTGACTGACATGCATGGCATTCCCTTTAGAAAAAGCAATGTGATACACTGTAAAGTTATATGCAATCCAATGTAATATAAACAAGATTATGATGATAATAAAAAATAAATAAAAAGAAAGGAATATGAAAAATTTCTAAGTTCTTCATTTTTTTTTATAAATATAGTATTGTAATGCTCACTTTATAATTTAATTGCTAATATTTTTGGTGGTGGGAATTTGGTGATGTCTGGTTACAATTCAATATTTTAAAAAATCTTATTTATTGAAAGAGAAAGAGAGCAAGAGTAAGAGTAAGAGCTATCTCTAGCCAGGTCTTCATGCCATGATCTACTCCCAGTCTCAACCATCCCAGATCTTGGGGCACTCAGCTTCACACACATGCACAGGAAGGTTCTGGGGCAGGAACTCAGAACTTTCAATATGGGTCTAATTTTTTTTTTACTTCATTTTTTTAAATTTACATTTAATCACTATGCATCTTTACAGTGCACAATATGGTTTTTCCCAACATGACTATAGTGCATAGTAGTCAAGTCAAAGACATTACCATATACATTATCATCAACAGATAACTTTTTATTTTCATGTCTATTAAATGTTTTTTTTTTTTTCCTTCATGCCCTGTCTCCCATGCCCTATTAACTCCCCTGTCCCCTACTGTCTCTAGGAACTATTACACCTTTCAACCTTTCAGTTTCTGTTAGAGAGTGCAGACATTCAGCATATATTAAGTGGAGACATACAATGCCTGTCTTCCATAATCTATTTCTATAGAGCACTGCATATCAACTGTACCACTAGCTGGACTGTTAGAATTTATTATTAACTTGACATGACCTTTGTTTGCTCTAATGTTTTGGACAGGGGGAATTAATGTACCTAGGGTTTTTGTTTGTTTGTTTTTGTTTGTTGCTATTAGGTAATACACTCACCAGAGACAGAGAGAGACAGGTGGTGGAAAGTGACAAAGCACCCCACGGGACTAAAGGACAGGAGGATGGCCATGCTTAAATTTGTTCTCCTCCATTCTCCTCTTGAGATTTTGCCATGCACACACACACACACACACACACACACACGTATTCAGCATATTCAGCATGTTTTTCAAGCCGCCAGGTCCAGAAATTAAACCACATAGTTGGCTATTAGGATTTAGTTGCCTTAGTCACCTGAGAGCATCAAGCTACAGAATTTCTAGCTGTTAACATATTAGAACAAAAATTACTATTTAAAATTTTAAAGCTCAAAATAGCCTCTTAAAACTTATGTAATATATTTTTAAAGAAACTGCATTGAAGTGCATAGAGTATAAATATTTCATTTAAATAGCTCTTCTAATTTTTACGTTCATGTTTCTCTCACTGAGTCATCCTCATATTGGAAATTCTCCACCACAAAATTTAAGTGTAATTTCAATTCTTAAATAATCATAGAATTTTTATTAAATTATCTGAAATATGCACATATTTTTCTATTAGCAAAATGGTTTATTTGCCTAAATTTCAAATAAAAAAATAGCCAAAAACACAAATATATGCCATCATAATTATATATTACTTTTATTAAAAATAATTATTTACAGTATGCTCTAGTTTCTTCTTATTGTGAAATGACTATTAATTGCCTCAAGTAACCTGTGAATATCTTATGAAAAAAGAGTTCATATACTTTTACCAAATCATATCTTTGTTGCTGTTGTTGTTGAAGAGAAAGATTCTTGAAGACAAAAATTCCTTTTGCACTAAGGAAAGATTCAAGGATAGGTTCATAATTATAATGCTATTACTGATATAAGTTTTATTTACTACAATGGCCACAAGCATCACTTCAATTTATTCTACCAAATAATTTTTTTAAAACGGTGGCAAGATTCAGAAAAGTAAATAAATAAGTGTTTTCAATATAGACTGATTAAAGTGATCATGAGTATAAGGAATGTGCTTTATTGAATTACATTTTTTGAGATACTGAAAAGTTGGTAATAGAAATAAAGATGGGCCAGCCTATGCCTGGTTCTTTTTTTTCTATTATTATTATTTTTATTAGTGTCATTATTTATACATTCTGTTGGTATGCATCATTTAGATTGTGAAGAGACTGTACCCAACGTGATATACACCTCAGTCCAGCCCAGTTGAGAATGCTATACACATCATCATCAACAGGTAATAAATCATATCTGTGTCCCACAAATGTCTTACCTCTCTTTTTTTCCCCCAAATTTCCTTTCCTATGCTCTTCCCCTATCCCACATGCCTGGTTCTTAACAGAACTGGATCCCACATGGTCAACTGGGTGGTTTGAGTCCTGCACTCTGGTTTGAAAAACATGCAAGGTGAATGTGCAAGTATGCACAAAATTCTGAAAGGAAGGAAAGAAGAAGGGACTATAGTGTGGCTATTCCCCCAAAAGGGGTGCTTTCTATTCTCCCTGACCCTCTTCCTCTGTCATGCACATGCAATCTCTGGCAATTAGAAAAAAAAAAAAAGTAAATAAGGGCCAGAAGGTGGTACAGTGGTTAAGATGCTGGATCCCACATGACTGACTCTGTGGTTCAAGTCCTAGAACCAGAAACTTGAAAAACATTTCAAGCATGTGTGAGTGGGTGCCCAAAATCCCAAGAGAAGAGAGGAGAAGAGATTGTGAATGGCCCTGGAAGTGTGGTTTCTCACTTTCTCTCTCTCTCTCTCTTTCTCTCTCTATCTCTGGCAAACACATGCACCCTACAGCAAAACTAAAAAACAAATAAACAAACAACAAAAAATTTTGTTGAAGAAGACAATCCATAGGTCTTATATCCACTGAATTGGTAATAAAATTTTAAAAACTGAAAATGAGCAAAGTTGTTCAGTTGCTTTCAATTAGATTGCAAGACTACTAAATAATTACCAGTATAATTTAAAGGTCATTGTGAATAGGTCCTGGGAGCTGAGCAGGACCAGCAGCTTGTCTGCTGAATGAAACAAATGATAGTCTAAACTAGTGAGACATTGGCTAGGAGTGCTTTCAGGGATGTATAGAGCAATGTGTCTTGGAATGGATATGAAGAGAGAACAGGGTTTGTGCCCAGATAAAGGATAGCTATAAACAAATTATATTCAAAGAGACCTAAGTAGTAATCAGAAAAAAATATGATAATGTTTTTTATCTTATCTGCAAGGAGGTGTCAGGAGATAAAGGGGTGATGGAATTCAGGTGAATGGAGGAGGCTGCTTCTATGTGCAACTGAGCCGATTGAGCTTTTCCTTCTCCTTATTCTTATAGTGTACCTTAAGCAATTTAAAAACTCAGAAAGAAAGTTAATTACAATAATTTTATAGTTTCTATAAACTATAGAAAACAAAATAAACAATAGTTATATAGTTTAATAAACTATAAGTGGTTTCTCACTTTCTCTCTCTCTCTCTCTTTCTCTCTCTATCTCTGGCAAACACATGCACCCTACAGCAAAACTAAAAAACAAATAAACAAACAACAAAAAATTTTGTTGAAGAAGACAATCCATAGGTCTTATATCCACTGAATTGGTAATAAAATTTTAAAAACTGAAAATGAGCAAAGTTGTTCAGTTGCTTTCAATTAGATTGCAAGACTACTAAATAATTACCAGTATAATTTAAAGGTCATTGTGAATAGGTCCTGGGAGCTGAGCAGGACCAGCAGCTTGTCTGCTGAATGAAACAAATGATAGTCTAAACTAGTGAGACATTGGCTAGGAGTGCTTTCAGGGATGTATAGAGCAATGTGTCTTGGAATGGATATGAAGAGAGAACAGGGTTTGTGCCCAGATAAAGGATAGCTATAAACAAATTATATTCAAAGAGACCTAAGTAGTAATCAGAAAAAAATATGATAATGTTTTTTATCTTATCTGCAAGGAGGTGTCAGGAGATAAAGGGGTGATGGAATTCAGGTGAATGGAGGAGGCTGCTTCTATGTGCAACTGAGCCGATTGAGCTTTTCCTTCTCCTTATTCTTATAGTGTACCTTAAGCAATTTAAAAACTCAGAAAGAAAGTTAATTACAATAATTTTAT